TTCTCTAACCCCCATACCTTTTACCTTAAACTGTCTACCGTGGACCTTACATGATTTTTAAGAGGTCCCTAAGGGGGCGTGCATAAGTGCACCAGCGTGCCTACCGTCCCTGTCCTACTGTCCCCATTTATATGTATTCATTTTATGTGTTTATGGCTATGTTTTGCTTATTTATATCCATTTATTTGTGCCAATTTTCATGTGTCCATGTCTATGTCTATACTGATACTTGTTTCCATGTACTTGTTAACAAACAAACAAACAAACAAACAAACAAACAAACACCAGTCTGACCAGGGTGGATTTAAATCATGATTTAAATCATGATTTAAATCACTAGAAAAAGGCTTGATTGAAATCATAATTTTTAACTGTCATCTCTGTCCCGCAGCAGCTCCTCCTCTGACCTGCTGTTGACTCACCGACAGTCCCAATATTATTTTTATTTTTTATTTATTTATTAAATTTATTAAATTTTTATACCGCCCTTCTCCCGAAGGACTCAGGGCGGTGTACAGCCAAGATAAAAAACCAACAATATAAAAGTTAAAAATAATTTAAAATTATTAAATAGTTTGGCCAATAATCTAAAATAAAATAACCCATTAAAATAATATTTTAGGCCAGCCCTGCTTGATGGAATAATAGTGTTTTAAGGGTGCGAATCTGATGAATCTCCGGGGGCAGCTTGTTCCAGAAGTTAGGTGCCCCCACAGAGAAGGCTCTCCCCCTGGGGGTCGCCAGTCGACACTGTCTAACCGACGGCACCCTGAGGAGACCCTCTCTGTGGGAGCGTACTGGTTGATGGGAGGCTATCGGAGGCAGAAGGCGGTCTCGTAAGTACCCAATATTGCAGAATATACAGCCTCATGCTACATAACTAAGCTCCATTTCATGCTGAATAAACTGATTAATGTATCTTAAATAGAAAACTATCTTTAGATAGATTTTTACTCCAAAAGCATTTTATTAAAATAAATTTGATAAAAATAATTTAAAAATCCGGTTTAAATAAAAAAAAATCTGATTTAAATTAAAAAATCAAATTTTCTTGATTTTTTTTAAAAAAAATATCATCGATTTTTATCCACCCTGAGCCTGACAGATATCTTCCTGTAGTATCTGGATATAGCTGTACCTCAGTTGGAAGAATTCCACTCAGGATAAGCTAAGTAGCTACCACCTTTTGTGAGAAGATATTCCTCTCCTTTTCTGACAATATTCTGGAATCTGGGTAAAACAGAAGGGGAAATCCCCTTCTCCAGGATTATGTTTTTAAACAAGCTGCTCCAGTGTCCCCCTTTTATCCAGAAAACAAGGCCCAAACAGTGCACGGTGCTTAGGTAAGCCACATACCAAAATAACAATAAATAAAGGATTTTAAAAATAATAAAAAGGACAAAGTACATATTTCAAAAAAAAAAAAAGAGCTAAACTAAGTTATGAGGCCACTAACTACGTATATGCAAGTTCAAGCAATCATTAACCACTACAACTCAAATAAAAAAAAAACTCAGAATGTGAACAAGGGTAAAAACTGCCAATGTTTCTGAACCTTAGCAAGTTTAAGATGTGTGGACTTCAGTTCTCAGAATTCCTCAGCCAGCTATCCAATGAAGCACGGAAGCAATTGAAAAGAAATAAAACATTCCTGATGCTTTTGCCTGTACTTCCCCTGTCAGCTTTACCTACAGATTCCAGTCCTTCTTCTTGAAAAGATCTGAGTCCCAGGCCAAATAGGAAATCTATTGCTATAATCCTTGCTACAGGTAGTCCTCGACTTATGACCGCAATTGGAACCAGAATTTCCATTGCTAAGCAAGGTAATTATTAAGTGAGGCACAGTCAATTTTACAACCTTTTTACCAAGGTTGTTCAATGAATTACTCCAATTGTTAATTGAATCAGGTGGCCATTAAGAAAACCCGGGTTCCGCTATTAACTTGGTTTATCAGAAGCCAGTTAGAAAGGTTGCCAATGATAATTACACAGCCCTGGGATACTGCAACCATCATAAATACATATTGCCGAGGGCCCAAATTTTGATCAAGTGACTGTGGGGATGTTATGACTCTGGTAATTGCAAAGACTGGTCATAGGACCCTTTCTTCAGTGGTGTTGTAACTTTGAAGAGTTGGTAAATGAATGGTTGTTAAGTTGAGGACTTACCTATACTGACTTGGGGGAAAATACCCTTCAAATTGCCCATCCCATCTTAAACCCTACCCCTGACTTTATCACTGGAAGAGAGTAGTGGCTTTATACTGCTTTGGAATATCTACAATACTTCCATCCTGCCTGCAGACTCTCAAATCCATTATAGTAGCCAGTCTGAGGGGTCTGTGGTGTTCTCGGAGCTTGGCTGTTTTCTTGTAGATGTTTCATTACCCAAATTAGGCAACATAATCAGAGCTAATGATGTTAGTATTAAAACTGATGATGTTACCTAGTTTGAGAAATGAAATGACTACAAGAAAATAACCATTTTTAAATAGCACCAAGGACCCCTCATTTCAACCCTGAGCTACAAATATTCTCCTTTATTACGCTCTCCAATTTCAGAAAAAGTAGCACTCAGCACTTCCTCAGTTAAATGAACATATACAACTTTTCTGATATCCATGGACATCCAAGGCTGCCCTTAGTAAAGTAAAAAGGATTGCCCATGGTCTTCCTCTTTCAGCACACAATTGGCTCTGCCTACAGTAATTTTCACTGACATAAATCCCACTTCAAAGGATTATACTTCTGTTAACCCGAAATTCTTGAGAACAAAATATATGCATTTGGCCAGGAGTTCAGAGAGAAACAGAATTAGCCAGACGTAGAACTGCAATGGAAATTCCACACAGCATTTTACATAGTTTTATCTTAACCAGCTAATTCCGTTTGAGATAATTTATTCTATTCTTCCCCTTATTTTCCCATTTATAGATAAACAAGGATATTGATTTCCAGAGATGGGGAATGTGGAAGAAAACTAATATTATCAATAAAAGCAAAGTATATATTCCTTTCATAGTGTAATGCCTGATGTAATCATTCCTAATTCTTAAATGTATGTTTTCAAATCTGAATAAGTGACTAAAATTAACACTAAATTGTTGTTATGTACAGTATTTTTGGGTACATATAATTTGGAACATTATACTATGAGAGATATGAGAGAGAGAGAGATACAAGAGAGAGAGGGGATATACATATACACAAGAGAGAGAGGGCAGGGATGTGTGTGTGTGTACCATGTTTTCCCAAAAATAAGACCCTGCCTTGTATTTTTTTGAACCCCGAAATAAGCGCTTGGCCTTATTTTCGGAGAGGTCTTATTATTTTGGGGTGCTTGGAGGAAAGCAGAGGAAATGGCGGGGGCTGGCTGCACATGTGTTTAAATATTTTCGGGGAGGCCTTATTTTCGGGGGGGGGCTTATTTTAGTGCATGCGCTCAAAAACCCGATTGGACTTATTATCAAGGGACATCTTATTTTAGGGGAATACATACATACATACATGTGTGTGAGAGAGAGGCGGGGAGAGAAAGAGGGAAGAGAGAGAGAGAAAGAGAGGAGGGAGGAGAAAGGGAGAGGGGGAGGGGAGGGGAGGGAGAGAGAAAGAGAGAGAGAGAGATGGATAGATGGATAAATCCATTAGTGATTTCTCTTTCACCCATCCTATCAGTAAGGATTCAATTCAATTTTATTTTGTGGTGCAGATTACATAGAACAAATAAATAGCATTACTGTTGCTGTAAATTATTGAATAGCTTCCATAGAATTTGTTCTATCCTTCCCTTCCTGTTTTAATCAATTGTTTGTCCATACAGGAACAAACCTAGGTCAGCCAAGTAGCTTCTGTTGAAAGACTATCAACAGTTTTTTGACTATCCAAGTAGAATTTACTGGATTTTTGCTATGTTCTTACTTGTTATCACCTCCAAATAGTTGGTGATACAAGATTTTTATGTTAAAGCTGTATGGATACTTTCTTAACCAGGCTTATTCCTCTGAACATTTAAAACATATAAGCTACTTTCTACCATAACTAAAACACACAATAGTTAACCTTTGAATTATATTCCTGCTTGAAAAAAATCATCAGTGATACTTTAATGTCTTTCTTTATTCTCTTGGTTGACAGGATAATCTTTAAAATGTATATTTTGTATTAATTATATTTTTGGGTGAGAGTCATTCCCCTATCACAAACCCTCTTCCCATTCATTCTTGTTGTTTTTCATGTAGAGGGAGGATTTTCTGATAACACAAAAGAAAGCTCACTTTGAATTGGCTTCGTTTGTTCTCAGTAATGACATCACACATATCAAAATAGACATAAAGAGACAATACATGATCTCCATATTATAACACCTACAGTATGTGACAAGTCCCAGAAATAAAGAGAAATAATAAATAAATCAGAAAGGAAGAAATAAAACACTGGCCCTAAACAGGGATAGAAAAGTGCAAGATCATGTAATCTATGAATTTGTAAAACTAAAACTCCAGATTCCTCAACAGATCTCCATCGCAAAGGAAACAGTACATTTTACCCAGCACCCATGCTATATTCACATTAGATAATGTTTGGCTCTCTTCTATCCATGTTTTGGTTTAAGATGGAACTACACATTACATGGAGTTCTTTGGAGTCCTTATTCTTTATAACCAAATAACGAAAATGTGGATATCACAGTACTCTACATACTGCTGAATTGAAACCCCAACCAGTGTTATCAATAAACAGGAAACTTAAGAGTTGAAGTTAGAGATTAGGATTAGATAAAAATAGAAAACTGCATAAAAGAAAAGGACTATAAAATCAAATGCAGGACTTGCATTTGAAACTCTAACCTTAAGGATTTTGTTGTTTTTTTAAACCTAACCCACTTTATTGCATTGCTACATATAATGGAGCATGTTCTTTAAAATTAGGACTTATGACAGGAACATTGAGTCACACTATGATTTAAATTTGGTGGATAACTAAGGGCTAAGGTTGAGTACCTTTATACTGGAGGCTGGCTGGATGAGCTCGGTGATGGATACCTTGTCTTGCTGAAGCCTTCTTTTGACCAGCTTGGAACAGCAGATGTTGACAGAGTTGAGAACATGCCAGGAGTTGTACTCCACAAAGGAGCGGCTATCAATGACCAACATTCCTTCTGTCCCACTCTTCAAGAGGCTGGCAAGCTTCTTGGGATCCATCACTTTGTGTGGAAGTTTGTCCCCGGCCATGGTAGACTGGTCCCTTCCGCAGCAAGTGGGAAAAGGAAAGGAACACCCAGGGAAGAGAAGCCAGCTCAGATATCCCAAAAGTGAAGGAGGAGGGGGAAGGGGGAAGGCAACTTGAAAACAGCCAACTTTTGCCACGCTGCTAAAGCCCTGTAGGCCAAGTCATTGTGCCAAACCTGAGAAAAAGAGAAAAAGAGGAGGAAAAAGTAGTCAGATATTGCAAGTATGCTATGTTGGTACTGATATATTTTGCCCTAGCTCAGATCTGGGAAAAACTATAGTCTTTAGATACTACTCAATTTCCAGAAGTCCACAACTCTTAAAGTTGCCAAGTTTGGAGACCCTTGGTCTAGAGCAGTGGTTCTCAACCTTCCTAATGCCACAACCCTTTAATACAGTTCCTCATGTTGTGGTGACCCCCAACCATAAAATTATTCCTAAAATATGTGTTTTCCGATGGTCTTAGGCGACCCCTGTGAAAGGGTTGTTCACCCCCCAAAGGGGTCGTGACCCACAGGTTGAGAACCACTGGTCTAGAGCAAGGCTGTCAAACTTGATTTCATTGAGAGCCATATTAGGGTTGTGTTTGACCTTGGGGGGCTGAGGTGGGCTTGGCCAGGGTGGGTGTGGCCAGCTTGACATCACTCGTGTCGGGGTGCCTGAGCTCCATTTTTGGCCGTAATGGCCTACTGCAACCTCTGACCGCATGCAGTCCTCCCGAGCTCCATTTTCACTGGCAGAGGTACTGCAGGCCGGTCCTTTGCTGTTTCTAGGTCAGCCCCACAGACCAGATCTAAGCACCCCATGGGCCTTGAGTTTGATACCCCTGGTCTAGAGTCTAAAGAAAGCTCTACTTAATGCTACCATTTCAACCTCCAGAAGCATTCAACTTATTCCCCATGCAGCAGGCGCTAAAGTTCGATAAACAAATCAGCTAGAGGAAAAGGAAAAAGGTATCCTAAAGTTATAGCTTATATCATGTTTCACATCTGATTTTGATTTAATCCTAGATGCTTTATCTGTACTTCACATAATTTACTGATTACTGTCTTACTGCTCCCTAATAACAATCTTCTTTACAATAGAGTTTTTGATGTTTTGAAGAATCTAAGGCTTCTGCAAAATACAGAATTATTATTTTTATTAAAGCAATTTGCTTACTTCCATCCAACAGCCTTCAAAATCACATATTCCAGGTTGCATATACTTTTAATTCATCTGAGCCAAAACTCCGCTTTAATCGTGTAGGCCTCAGAGTACGTTGCAGCATTTTATCACTTTAAAATTTTTCATTACCAAACCATTATGAGAGGAATATCCTGAATATTGAGCTGAAAGCTACAAACCTAGCATTTGAAACTCCTGTCCTACATTGCAAAAATCACAGCACAGAGTATGCATAATTTAATTTTGCATATTAAGAAATGCATATGTATTTCTGTTCGATCACATGCTTGTTAAAGCATCAGGCAGGGATTAAGAAGAGCCAATTAAAATCTTTATGCAGACATGAAACTCACTGGATGATCAAACCAACCAATATTGCTTGAATCCAACTCACAGGTTTATTATTACGGGAATAAAATGAGGGGAGATTCCAAGTAAACCAACTCGAACTACTACAGGCAAGATGGTGTATATAACCATAATGTAGTAATATTTTTTTAAAAATAAAACACCACCTACTGCGTCTGGAGGACCAAACATCATCTAGGATATGCTTCATATTGCAGCCATACACAGCTTCTTTGTAGTATTTATGTAAAAGATTTGTATAGCTGCCCACCTTAAAACAGAACTCTGGGCAGCTGGTTAAAAAAAAAATAGAAAGTCAAGTTTAATAACAGCTTTTCATTTTTGGAAATTAATGGTTTCAACACAACCCAGGGTTGGAAACTACCATATTAAAAATTCTCACTTACTGAGATTCTCAGTAAAAGAATGGATATAAGAAACTAGCCTCATAGCTTTAACCTGTCAAACTGCACCTGTTCTCTTGAAAAACCTATCTGAAATAGGTTAGTTGCTTATTGGTAATAAAACCATTATAAAACATAAATGATTTGCAGTACATTTGCAATTAAAAAAGAAAGACAACCTGTCTTTCTTATTATCAGAAAACCTTACACTGTTCTGGCTAGAAACAAGATTCATGAACTTCAATGGTACTTAAAGCATACATATAGTTGTGTTTGAGTGAATCCCAATGCATTTCAATAGGCCTTATTTCCAAGTAGGGGATGGATTTGAGGGATCCTTGGTGGTCTCTGAGCTTGGTTGTTTTCTTGCAGACGTTTCATTACCCCAAACTAGATAACATCATCAGTGCTGAAAACAACCAAGATCAGAGAGCACCAAGGACCCCTCATTTCAACCCTGAGCTACAAATATTCTCCTTTATTGGTACCAAGTAGGTTTGAAAAGGAGTATGCTACCATATATTGTTTACTTACTGATACTAAACTGGAAAACTTGTGCACACACCTTGAACTGTATTGGGGGGGGGAAATAAAAAATATAATCACATCTTCTGTCAGGCCCATTGCTAAGAGACCCGAATTATTATGGTCACCTGAAACATTTGGAGGGAGAAGAGTGTCCTTCTGAGAGAAATCACAGTAGCCTATTTTTAAAATAAAAAATGGATTAGGTGGAGGATCCCTGATAACAATACCAAAAGTCCTCTTTTGCAATACATTATTTGCCCATTCCTTTCTCTCTCCAGTGTGGATTTTAATTTTTATTATTTGAGTCTTTGGTAAAAGATGAACTGCTCCTTTGGCAGTTGGCTGGAACAACCCTTTCTCTCTTTGGTATTTTGGGGCAGGCTTTTCAAGCTGAAACAGCTCCTAATTAAGAGAAGTTTGAAGGGGAAGATGGAGGCTCCTGTGACTCTTAAAGTATACTTCATTATGTGCTTTCAGCCACCCGGAGGATTCCCTGCTGTACTTATTGCTACAGAAATGAAGATAGTCAGAAAGGATGCAAATTAATTGGCTTCTCATCTGTTCCCCACACTCCTTGCTTTCTTCAATCTTTTATCTATGGAGAGGGAGAGGAGAGGAAAAATGAGGAAAGGACCAGCTGAACATTTCTCCAAATTCCACTTTGGAGAAATATTAATTGAAACAGATGGACAGAATGTCCCTAAAGAGAGCTAGATTACACAGGCAAAAGCAAGAGAAGGAAACAGTAGAAAGAAACTGAGGATTGATCAAACAGCAAAGGTCAGCCAATGAACAAGAATTCCATCTTTATTTCCACTTTTAAGCTATGAAGAAGGGCCAAGATCCAGGGTTTTCAAAAGACAGCTCAAGGAGATTCGGGAAAAATTAATATTTTTAGAAATCTCACTCTCTCTCATTTATATCTATCTATCTATCTATCTATCTATCTATCTATCTATCTATCTATCTATCTATCTATCTATCTATCTATCTATCTATCTCTCAGTGGTGAAATCCAAACTTTTTTACTACCAGTTCTGTGGGTGTGGCTTGGTGGGCGCGGCAGGGGAAGGATACTACAAAATCCCCATTCCTTCCCCACTCTTGGGGGAAGGATATTGCAAAATCCCCATTCCCACCCCACTCTGGGGCGAGCCAGAGGTGGTATTTGCCGGTTCTCTGAACTACTCAAAATTTCCACTACCTGTCAGAACCTGCTGGATTTCACCCCTGTCTGTCTGTCTGTCTGTCTGTCTGTCTGTCTGTCTGTCTATCTGTCTATCTATCTATCTATCTATCTATCTATCTATCTATCTATCTATTTATCATCATCTATCTTTGTCTTGGCTTTTCTGTGGACAAAAATACAAAATACTTAAGTAACGAATAGGAAATACATAATGCAGAAGAGAAAATTAGCATTTATTGTTTAAAAATGTTATTCAAAGGAAGAGAGTGTGCATTTAATATAAACCTGTTTGTGCAGGATGGATTTCCAGCCTCTGCCCTCCCTTTGTTTTCAACAGTGAAAATGGTTTGTTTGGGATGACTTAGCTAACTAAAATGTTCTGCATTTCTTCATGTATTTGCCTTGGTAATGTCAACCAGCAACCCAGACAGGCTCAGATATTCACAATCTGCTTTCCAGAAATAGAACCAACAACTTTATGAGGGTGTGATGCCCTAGATCAATGTTTCTCAACCTCAGTAACTTTAAGAGGTGTGAACTTCAACTCCCAGAATTCCCCAGCCAACATGTTTTAAGTTGTCAAAGTTAAGAAACACTGCCCTAGATGACACATATTGTGTAGGGAGGCAATCTTTCTTTAGTGGGAGATAGACATTTTGACAGTTTTTAAAACAAAGGAAGAACTTTGAGAGAACGGTGAGCAGTCTCTGATTACTATTGATATCCACGATGAGAAGTGGTCATCCTTCAGAATTAGCAGAACCAGGCTGCTAGGGAAGAATGTTACCTTCAACCAATATTTTATCACCATCCCTTTACTTATGTTTTAGGCAATAGTGTCTCAAGCCTATAATCTCTTTTCTACTTTTTTCTTTTTTAAAAAATATCCACAATTTTGATTTTATTCATCTCCCATGAGAATAGTTTTTCTCCCTGGATGGGCTGAAACCTGTAATCCTGTTCCTTGAAGTGACACCATTACATTACATAATTTATTTCTTTTTTTTTTTTGTTCCATGGTTATCTGTTCATTTTAGTAAGACATCATTCCTGTAGAAGCTTTCTCTCTCTCTCTCTCTGCCTCTCCCTCCCTCCCTCTCTCTCTCTCTTTCTTTCGAATACCACTCATCAGCTAAATGCTAGATGAGGCAAACCCTGAAAGATAAGACAATATTTCCAAAGGCAGAAGGATGCAATCAGGATGAAAAGACACAAAGGATTGAGACTTCCCATCTTTTATCCTATAGGTTTAGCCATGCTCCTAACATTTGTTCATATTACTTTTGATGAACTCTTGCCTAACCTTTTTTTTAAAAATGATCACTTTATTAAACTTATCAAAGTATAAAATACTAATGAAAACCCTTGCCTAATCTTTAAATGATTCCAGAATTTTTCTACAGTTAAAATCTTGCCTTCATTGGGAGTCAATAAGATATCTGTTAAATCTGAAGGTTGACCTCCCCATTTCTAAAACTGAAGTTAGGACCTTTATGAAGATAGCTCTCTGTGGAGTGCCATTCTCTCAGGAGCCTGGGGA